CTGCGCGTCCCCCCCCCCTGCCGCACCACCATGTCTTTGGAGTGGCTGATGGACTGGAGCTGGTCCCTGGACGGACTCCGGGATTTCATCGCCACTGGCATCCAGTCTTTCCGGGACTGCGACGCCACCGCCCTCGCCACCGTCGCCTGCCTCCTGGTCCTCTTCGTGTGGTACTGCTACCACGTGGGGCGGGAGCAGCCCCGCGCCTACGCCACTGTCAACGCCCTGATGCAGAGCGCCGAGGCCAACGGCGTGCAGAACGGGTACGTCTACTGCCCCTCGCCCGAGTGCGTGCGCTGCACACACCACGACGGGCTCAACCAGAAACTCTACCACAACCTGCAGGAGTACGCCAAGCGCTACTCCTGGTCCGGCATGGGCAGGATCCACAAGGGAATCCGCGAGCAGGGCCGCTACCTCAACAGCCGGCCATCCATCCAGAAGCCAGAAGTCTTCTTCTTGCCGGACTTGCCGACCATGCCCTATTTCTCCCGGGACGCTCAAAAGCACGACGTGGAGTTGCTGGAGCGCAACTTCCAGACCATCCTGTGCGAGTTTGAGACCCTCTACAAAGCTTTCTCAAACTGCAGCCTGCCGCAAGGATGGAAAATGAACAGCACGCCCAGCGGGGAGTGGTTCACCTTCTACCTGGTGAACCAGGGCATGTGCGTGCCCAGGAACTGCAGGCGATGCCCACGGACGTACCGCTTGCTCGGGAGCCTCCGCACCTGCATTGCCAACAATGTCTTTGGGAACGCGTGCATCTCCGTGCTGAGCCCGGGCACCGTCATCACCGAGCACTACGGACCCACGAACATCCGCATCCGCTGCCACCTCGGTAAGTGCCCAGCGGGGTGGCTCATCACGTGCGGGGGCCTGCCGCCCTGCCTGGGTGCTGGACCCCAGAAAATGCCTCTTGCACCCCGTGCTCTCCAAGTTCAGGCACTAATTGCAGCCCCGGGGGCCGGCTCAGGTGCCTGCTCTGCTTTGGCCCGAGGGAGGTTTTGGGGCTTTAGCAGCAGCAGCCCCCCCAGGAGAGGCCAGCACTCAGTCCCCCCGGGTGCCTGACCTCCCCGGGGTCCCCAGCTCGGCTGCAGGAGCGTTTTGCCTCCCTCCTCCTGCCGACCTGGAGGCGTGGGCTCTTGCCGGTGCGAGATATGGGGCTGACTTTGCGCTGGGGTCTCCGAACACCCCCCGCTCTGCAGGTACCCCCACCTCCCATCGCGGGCTGTGGGGCAGCCTGGGGTGCTGCTCCAGGGACCGAGCTGTCTCCCAGCGCCGCCCCTCCACCAGCTCCCCCCTCCTGGGATTTTGGGTGCTCTGTGCGTGATGCAGGCAGATGTGAGCAAAGATGCTGCTTTGGTGTGAGTGAGGGGTGGGGGTCCCGGGGTATCCCCTCCGGCAGCACTGCGCTCCCCGCCCTGCGGGCGCCCGGGATGGGGAGAGCCCACGCGGCACAGATGGTCGGGACGCTGCTGCGCTGGAAGCGGCACAGATCGCGCCGGGGGAGGCACCGCACGGGCCCTGCTGGCAAACACTGAACAAGCTTGTTCAGCCAACTTCTCTTGGGTAAACACACTCAGGCGGTGACTGGCCATTTATTTCGAGTGGGAATCGGTCTTCAGAGCTGATCCAACGAGCTCTCCAGGCCTGGGGAGCCGGGACCTGCCCTTGCCTGTGCCAGGAGGCAGCCCGCTGCCCGGCCGCCAGCTCTCCCCGCTCTGGTGCATGGGGCTGAGAGGGGTCCTGGGGAGGGGGCCAGCCAGGTGAGGTCCAGACTGGCTCAAACAGCGTGGAGCTGGGGCCAGTCCTCCAGCAGGAGCACGCACGCCCCGGGGAGAGGAGCGATGTGGGTCATTCCCTCGTCCTTCCAGGTTTTCCAGCTCCATCTGCTCCGCGGCTGCTGGCCCTCCAGCCGGGACACAGCACCGTGCCCGGGGCACGCCGATGGGCTGCTCGTGCGCTCGCCGACATCCCCACCTCGGTGCTGGGGTCTTGGCTCTCGCTGTGGTCCGGGCATGGATGCGTTCAAGAGACAACCAGCCCCTTCAGGCCAGCTTGCTCTGAAAAGGCAGAACAGCCATCAGCGTAGCCCCGTCGCACTCTCGGATTTACCCCAACCCCAATGTGGCTCTGCTGAACACACAGGGCTGAGCCCGGGCGCCAGCTCTGCCCCTCCGAGGGACAGGGCAGCGTCCCCCGGGGCGCGGGTGCGATGGAAAGGGCTGCGCGCTGCCTCCCCGGCTGCTCGGCTCCCCCTCCCCAGCTGGAGCGTCTCCAGCTGAGGCTGTTGTGCAGGGGAATGGCTTTGGGTTTCGTAGGCTTTGAACCATCCGTTAGAAAAGCAGAGCAGCTTTTTTTTTTTTGCTCCCAGCTCTCCTGGGCAGCTTGGGAGTCCCTGCTGCGCTCGCTTGGTTTTGGCATCGCTGTGAGATCCGTTCCTGCTCGTTTGCTGCATCGTTACCGTTTGCAGGCCACGTGAGCCCTGACCCCTTTCTCCACCACGGCTGCGTCCTCGGGGCAGGGTGACTCTGTGCCAGCTCCAGCGGTCCCCGGCACTGCGGAGGGGGGACGTTCCTGATGCAGGGGGCGATGGCATCCACCCTCATCACACTGGCTTGACTCGTGCTAGTATTTTAGGAGAAGACCGGTTTCATTTCTAGGATTGTCCTTCTTCGTGTGGCCCTTCACAGAGCCTCATCCCTTAGGAGGGTTTTGCAACCCTCCCCTGGATTTCTGTCCTTGCAGCAGCTCGGGCGGGGACTGAGTGACAAGGCCGATGCTGAGTGACGCAAGGCCAAGTGGGGAGCTTGTGGCAGAGCCAGGAATTGAGCCCATTTCTCCAGTCCCAGCGCAGCATTCCCTCCTACCCCGGCCATGCGGTGGGCAGGGTGATCGCAGCAGAGCTGGCGGAAGGAGAGGGCAGGCGCTGCTGCTCCCGAA